CCCTCTCCTTCCCCAGAGCTGCTGTGTGCTGGCACGTGGCAGCTGAGAGTTGGTTGTCGCAAAGAAGGGAGGCCTGGAGCCAGAGCGCTGCCCGCCGCGGGTTGCAGCAGCCCTGGCCACTTTTCTGCTCCCCGGGGCTGACCTCCGCTGGCTCTATCTCCCCAATCTTGTCAGCTCCACTAATCTGCCTGTTTCAGTGCCCGTGGTTCTTGTTTCGTGCTCCCAGACAAATGAGGCCCTTCTAGCTGTCAGGTGAGCCTTTCCCAGAGCTTATGCAAATGATACTAATTAAAGGCATTCTTATCTGTTCAATTTCCCACACCTTTTGCCTCCGAGGGGGATAGAAAACTTCATGTTTTAACTCCGTATTTCGTGGCAATCGGAAGGACTGCCTAGGGAAAGCGTTGGGAAATGCAGCAGGTCACTCATGAGAAGAGCTGGCTTATGCAAGTGTTGAAACACTTTATTATGCATGAGAAACCTTCCAGAAACAGATGACTAACAGCAAAGCGGGAGCAGAGAAAGCAGTGGGAACGCCATACCGGGCTGGCATGGGATCCCATGTCATCTTACCAGCTTAGCAGGGTTGGGCTAGGTCAGCACTTGCCTAAGAGACCTCTCAGAGTACCTGGCTGGTGATGAGGGAAGTGATGTTAATGAGTCAATAAACAGAGCCCTTCCCTCTTTGTGAACCAGAATGCCCCTGCGTGATCCCAGGAACCCACCAGCAGCCCCATGTTTCCATGTTACCTGCCTCTCGTGGCCATACTCACACCGGTGCTCCTTGCACAGCAGACGGTACCCAGGTTGCCATCCCGTTTGGCGACCCATGTCCCAGCATGGCTTCTGCTGGCACCCAAGGCAGGAGTGCCACGTGCAGCAGCAGCATACTGATGACATGACACTGCATGAGTCAAGCCCTTGGCTCTCCAGGGAAGGGGAGCAGTAAGCCCTCTGCTTTCTGACCCCCCCTTAGATGTGTGGCTGTCCCAGGGGCTGTGCTTGGAGGTGGCCTTTGTACCCACAGTGTCTACACTTTGTGCATGGAGCTCAGAGATGCTGAGGGGAATTCAGCCCCACATTTGCTAGAGAAGGAAAAGAGCATTTGAAGATGAAAGCTGTAACTGCAGCAAGAAGGAGCTAGAGAGTTGGGAAAAAGCATGAGAAAATACACACATGGAGGAAGATGAGCATGAGGCATCAAATCCTGACTTGTGATTGGAATTTGCCAGTGACGGTTACCTGATTTTCTTGTCAATGACATTCTCACAATCCCCCTCCCTCCTGGGCAGCCCCTGCTCTGGGGTTCCACAGAGGCAGGCCTGTCTGTGCAATGGGACAGCAATGTGGGCAACCTGTGCTGGGCCTGAGCATCCTCCATGCCCAGTGTGCTGAGCGTTCCATCTCAGAATGTCCCCGAAAGAAACTCCTGGATGCTCAAGGGCTGTGGTTTCACAACCAGGATGAGAGTTGCAAGCTCTATCCGGAGGAGTGGCCCTTTCACCACATGATATCCATCTTGGAGAGAGGGAAAGAAAGGAAGGGAAGAGGGTAGGCGGTGAGTAGGAAAAGAGATATCACTGCAGGTGGCGGTTGGATGGCCCTGTGATATGGCGAGCAGAAGACGCGCAGGGAATTGTCCTGACATGAGCTGCCCTGAATTGCCCCAGAGAGTTCACTCCGGGCACTACTGATGTTGCCCTTTACAGCCAGTGTTGGTACACTGAGGATTTCCTAAGCCAGAATCTCTCCAGGCAGAGAGTTGCGCATCACCAGCAAAACCAGTGCCAAGAAGAGCCTCGGCGCTGGTGAGTGATGCTGGCCTGATGTCGTGTGTCTGCAGAGCGAATGGGAGAAACCCACACTTCTGGACACCATTATGGGGCCAACTCTTCTACCACCAAAGTGACTCCAGAGCACTTTGTTGGAGCAGAGGAAGGACAGGACTGGCCCCTCTCCAGCTGGCACCAGGTGCCAGGCATCAACCTCTGAGCCTCCACCTGGGCTCAGGGCAGCTCCCAGGGCCCTTCTGAAGACCCAGAACCTTTGGCTTCTGTGATCTGTTGAACCTGGGACAGGATGAGGATGCTGAGATGGCCCAGGAGCTCCAGGCTGGTGCATCCAGTCCCTCGAGTCCTGGGAGGTTCATGCGTCACTGCGGTGCAGTTCCCCCTGGGGGTCTGGGAGAGGCAAGGATCACTGTCTGAAACAAAAAAGCCACTGGACAGCCCAGCATTGCAAAAGGCATCTGGGGGCCTTGCACTCCTTGTGCTGTGCAGGCAGAGCTGGGACTGCTCGGGCTGCTCGGGCTGGGGATGTCCCAGCACGGGGTGCCGGCTGTGCTGACTCGCTGTGGTGTCATGGTCTGGGGCTGATGGTGTCATCCCTTCTAATCCCCTTCGAATAAGTCTCAGTGGTGGCATTGCAGAACACCTGCAAGTTTCTGTGTGCGCGGTGGGTGCTGGGCAGTGGGACAGCAGCTGCAGAGCTGCTGGTTCCTCCACTGCAGTACAGAACTGGTGGGCAGAGGGGAGCAGAAAACAACAGAAAAAGGCCATAGCAGGGACAGCAGGTCGGGCCGGCACGGACCAGATTCATTCCTTACCCTTGACACAGACGTGGTGAGCGGAAACCAAGAGAACACACAGATCTCAGCGCCCAGCACACCCGGCACGGTGATGGGTGCCGGGGTGCACTCGCCTGGCTGTGCCCGGCTGGCTGCCAGCAGCACCGGTGCCCGTGCGCCTGCACGTGTGCCACGCCGGGCACTCAGCGCCGGCCCCGCTCCCGCTGCCCGCGCCGGGGCTGATTCACACGGGGCGCTGGAAGCCGGGCTGCCGTGGGAAAGCGCACCCGCCATGGCTCCCGAGCGCTGGGATTGCTTCAGCGGGGGTGCAGCCAAGATCCGTTTCACAGCGGGCAGAGCAGATCTCGGCTGGGATTTACCAGTGACTAAGCGTGTGCTGGCAAAGGGCTGCCCTAGCGTGAGAAAGAACGAGCTGCTCCTCCTCGGAGGTGTGCTGCGGGCTGCGCCGGGACGCACGGCCCCGGGCACCTGCGGGGACAGGCACCATCCGTGCCGCGCAGCGCGGGGCTGCCGGAGCCCGCGGGGAGCTGCCCCGTCCCGCTCCCATCGGTGAGGCTCTCCCCTGCCCTCACTCGCAAACGGTCGTACCAAAACTGATCCCAGCCCCCGGGATGCAGGAGTGGAGCATCCGGCCCAAGGCCACCGCTGGCCCCCGTGCCTTACTGAGGTGGCAAGCTGCCCTGCTCACCTCGTTTCTTCTGTTTCGTTTTGGCAGGGCGTTACAAGAAAAAATGAATTGCAATTTTTTATTACAGCTAATTGGCGCTCCTGCTAAGTGGCTTGTCTGGCTCTGGAGCGTGCCCTGTGCTTGGAGCTGAGGATGGGGAAGGCCCAGGGGCTGTGGAGGTGGTGGGGGCACAGAACCTCCCAGCTGTGTTTGGGAGCCCCAGGCAATAGGAAACGCATGGCCACGGTGTATGTGGCCCCAGGGGCTGCACTGTCCCTGGGTCACAGCAGTGCTGGATTTCAGCAAAGCAGAGGAATTTTCCTGAGGTAGGGAAGAGCAGGGCATTGAGCAGGGGGGAGCTGTGGCCAGAACACCCCAGTGTGAGGGCTGCAGGACAGCTGTGATGTCAGGGCAGCCGTGGGGCTGGGCTGTGGGGGCTGGGACATCCTTGAGCTGCAGAATCCGGCTCCGCTACACAGCAGCTCCAGGATTGTGCAGTCCCAGAGCAGCAGGTGACACCTGCCCTATACACAGGACCAGATCTGCCCGTCTTCTATGCCCACCTCTGAATCCCTTCATGCTCCTTTTTTCTTCTCTGCCATCTTGCAGCGTGGATCTGGCCCCCCGCCTTCCCAGGAGCTGCTCACAGGCACAGCTGAGCTGGGGCAGAGCTGAAGAAGGGAGAGGGAAGGTGAGAGGCAGAGGGAACACAGGCTGTGAGATCTCCAGCTCTGCCTCCTCTGAGCACTCAAAGCCTGAGATCAGATCAGATGGGATCAGGCAGCCTCTGCCAGTTATTGTCATGTCGGCAGTGAAATTAGAAAGTGACATCTCCTTCATGATCTGATAACTCAAAGTGCTGATGTGGCCCCTCAGAAAATTGAGGTTCTCACAGGAGAGAGATCTTTCTTCTGCTCTCCCGGGGTTTTGTAGTTTCATCTCCTCTGTGCTCCTGGCTTTGGGTTTGAATGGGAAAGCCTGGGGCTGAGCTGGGGCTGTGTGCTGCTCTCCATCCTGAAGGACATGGAGGTGACGCTGCTGTGGAAGTGCCAAGGATGTGGCTGGGACACCTGGCTGTGGTGGCACGGCTCTGCCTGCCTCAGTCTCTGCCGTCAGGGACTGGAGCCTGGTGTCTTCTGGGATCAAGCAGTGCTCTTGTAGATGTTGTGAGGCTGCAGATGGAAATCACTCTTCCTGCTGTGGGACAGAGCTTGCTTTCAAACAGATGATCCTTGCTGAGGCAGCTGTGTGGGAAGAAGGGGCATCTTTGCACCTCGCTGTGACCCTGGTGCCGTTCCAGCCGGCACGCTGCAAACATGCTGAGGGCCCACATGGTGCCCGCTTGGGCAGTGGAAACCTTTCTGGTTTCAACAGGCTTTGGAGCAAACCCTCAGGCAGGAAACTTGTTCTGGTTGGTGAAGTTATGCACCTGTCTCACTGCTTTCCTTCGATGCAGCATGCCCAAATTGCTCTGCAAGCAAAAAACAGCCCCTCAAAACAAATAGCAAACAAAAGGCATCGTGGAACATCCTGGCAATCAACCTGCTGCTTTCCAGTACCTTACAGTGCTCTCAGGGAGGGCAAAGGGAGGCTGAGCATGCCAGGCTGCTGGCAGCGCCCTGAGCTCAGTGGGACGTGCCTCAGTGTCCCCACGTGTGCAGTTGGGAAGCCCAGGGATGAGGCTGGTGCTCGAGGTTACAGACATCCCAGCCATCACCTCACCATCTCCCCCCGCTCTTTTCCCAGGTGTGCAACTGTGACAAATACCTGAAGGTCCCAAAGGAGAGGATGAGGCAGCTGGTAGAGGGCAGCAGGAACTCGCTGGGGGACAACAGCACAGGTGAGAGGGCAGTGGGGGGAGTGCAGGCAGAGATTTGTGTCCCACTGCCGCCCCGGGGCTGTGTGCACCAGATCTCTCCCCAATGAAGGATGGAGACCCTCAGCACCAGGCTGCAGCGGGGTGTGGACCTGCTGAGCCTTGCAGAGCCCCCCCCACCCACTCCATTCCGTTACACTCATACACGTCCCAGCACAGCCTCAGTTTGCCCATCTGCCTGAGCTTGCAATGCAAGGCACGGGCTGCTGTGTGCTCCTGGCCAGCTGTGGCTTTGCTGGGAGCCACACGTGTGGCTCAGGGACAGTGAACGTGGTGACTTTTCCCATGGTGCCAGCAGCCTGGGAGCACTGCGCTTCCAGAAAGGCTGGGGCATCCTCCTGGTGGTTTCTCTGGTGAGGGCACTCACTGTTTGTGTGTACCCAGGGACCAGCCCGGCCTGTTCCTCCAGTTCTGGAGTATGGGAAATAGCAATGCTGTGGTTTGCATTAAGCCTGTGAGCAGTTTCCCCTTCCCCCATCAGGAGGGGGTGATGGAGCTGGGGGGGCTCACATGGCACCATTATTTCTCTACGTGGCCTCTCTGAGGACCCTCAGCTGCTGCACCCTCCACACCCTCTTGTGCAATGAAGAACATCGCCCACATCCCTTCTCCCCCTGTTGCAGAGGGATGGGGTCAGTGAGGAAGGATCCAGGGCTGCAGGAGCCCCACACAGGCCGTGGCCATGTGAGGGAGCATCCCTCAGGGCAGCCAGCAGCAGCAAACACCTCAGCATCCTCACGGTGTTGGTGTTCTGCTGCCACAGAAACATGAAATTAAAGCTGACTTGTGCCAGCTGGGCTCTGCCTGAGCTGCGGATGCCAGGGAGCTGCCAGGCAGTCCCTTGTGACCCTGTGCTCAGCCACGCTTGGATTTCTGACCCTATTTAGAGTTCTCTGTGTGTTGCTGGGATTCAGAGTATCCGTGTGAGCTGAAGTAGGATGGGCAGAGGGGAGCAGTTCTGCCCCACACACAGCATGGGGGTTTGGCACCCCGCTGCTCACCCACATGGGCAATTCATCAGCTCAGATTTATCTCCGGGACCATGGGCAGACACTCATCCAGCACCCAGCCTTGGCAAGAAGCCTCACACCTAGGTTGTTGTTTTCCCTGACACAGCTGCATTTTCCTTGCATGAGGCTTTGATGGAAGTGCTGAAAGTCACTTCAAGCCCAGACGGCTTTGCCTCATGATGCCTTTGTCCCATTGGGGTGCTCAGAGCAGCTTTCCTGGTGGGCTGTTTGCCCGAAGCAGGCTGGGGACAGAGCAGTGAGAGGTGACGCTGCTGTGGGTCCCCACGTGGCACAGACAAGGTGTGATGTGGCTGGAGGCCGTTGGCAGCATGCATGCTCCTGGATGACCCAGGTGGATGGGTTGTGTCACAGGCTCTTGTCTGGCCAAGGGAAGCTTCTTGCTTAGTCAGTGTGGTAAAACCACCTGGCATGGCGCCCTGGTGCTTGGAGATGCTCTGCAAATGCAGGCAGGCAAAGGAAAAACTGCAGGACGGCAGCGAGTGGGCAGAGAGCACAGCAGTTCCCAGGCAGGGCACTGGGGTCCAGAGCCTTTTCCTCAGCCAGTGGCTCTGCTCCCTCGTGTCCAAAACCTTGATGGATGCGTATTTTCTTACCCTGCTTCCAGGATCTGCAGCAAGTGGCTTTGCTCTGAGTGTCAGACCAGTCTGACTGGCACATGGGAAGGGTGCACGGTCCCTGTGCCATCCCACAACTGCTCTCACACCCGTGGAGCATCCTGGGCCTCCTCCCCACCTCAGCTAGAGCACAGCCCCAGTATGCAGGAGCAGCCAACAGCCCTGCACACGTTGGGCTGCTCTGCAAGCAGGGAAGGGGACTGGACCTGCATCAGTCCCCAGGAGGCTGCACCCACAGAGCTGGGGTGCAACTCCTTCAGGCCCAAACCAAGCAACAAGTCTCCTACCCCATGGGGTGCAGCGGGGTACTGGGGGCTTCCACATGGGTCAGGGATGGGACTGAGGACCTACTGTGCAGTACTGGGAGCAGGCATTATGGCAGGAGCAAACACAGGGGCTACACAAGCTTTGCTCCTGCCCAGCTGCCAACTTTGGGTGCAAGAACCGGTGAGCTTTGTTCCCACAGCTGCACAGCGATTGGAGCTGCTGAAGGTGCCCCTTTGCCTTGAGCTCCTCCGCCCAGCACCACCCTGGGAACGTCTCAAGAACGTGGCCTGGCCGCTGCAGCCCGGGTTGCACAATCACAAGTCCTTTGTCCTCGGCTTATCTGACTTAGAGAGGAGGAAAAGATAACCAGGCATCTTCAGCGCCCTGCAATCCAGTGTGTTTCTCAGGCTTGTAACTCCTCTTATCAAGTTCAATCTTTCACCACGGTGAGGTTTCCCATGCACCTTTGTACTCCAAGAATGCTCCCAGGTCTGCTTTCAGACTTGTGCAAAGTCTTTACGATGCGCGCTTTCTCCAAAACACCCAATCCTTAATTGCCTAATTACGGACGAGTCTCCCGTGTGTGTGCGATGACAGCTGGGTGCGGCTGCGGGGCTGTGGGAAGGGCTCAGCTTGCACAAGGGCTGCCAAACCCTCTGGGGCCAGGCAGGAGAGTGCGGCACAGGATCGACTTGGGGAGCACAGGGAGACACGGGCTGGAAGTGGGGCCGGGGGGCAGGATGTGCTGTGGGAACAAAGGGCAGCTCGGGGACATTGGGGTTCTCACCGATGTCCTGGCACTGAACCTCCAGGGTGCCCAGGGTGGGGGAGGTGTTGTTTGTTCTGAGAAAAGGAATAGGAACACGTCTGTCCCTGCTCCCCGGGCCGTCCCATGCCCCTGTCCCGCAGTGAGGGCTCCCAGAGCTGTTCAGCCGACCCAAGGCTCTGCAGAATAAACAGGGTGTGGGGGCTGCAGTTCACCAGCGCCGCTCACCTTCACAGCATGCTTTGAGTGGCCCTGCAGTGCCAGGGCTGCAGGGTGCACATCATCCCTGCCCACTGCAGACAGAACCTCACGGCTGCAGCTCCTGGCCCACGCTTCTCCTGGGGTCCCTGGGACAAGGCTGCTGCCACCCCACCCTGCAGCACCTGAGCAGGGTCCCTGCATGGTGTCCCCTCCTCAGAGCTGCTGGCTCTGCATCCTCCGTGGTGATAGTGCCATCAGAATCATAGACCCACACATCATCCCAAGCTGGAACAGACCCTCGTTGGGATCACGAGCCCAACCCAGCCCCATGCAGCACCACCCGAACCCCAACCCTAAAGCTGAGAGCCATGTCCCAGTGCTCCCTGAGCTCCAGCAGCTCGGGGCCGTGCCCACTGCCCTGGGAGCTGAGCCGTGCCCAGCCCTGACCCCATCGCTCTGTAAGCCCTGCACAGCCTGCCCGGTTCCATCGTCCCTGGGTGACCCAGGCAAGAGTGGGAGAGGTGAGCGAGAGGCCAAAGGGCTTTTTATTTTCATGATGTTTTATAATGGGATTATTAGTTCCCAAGAGGTGTTTCGAATTGATTCGGTAAGGAATTGCTTTCATTTCTCCTCTGCAGAGCTGCGGTGGGAATGCAGCCTTTGGTGCGAAGCGTCACAGACCTCTTGAAACTGTAGATCTCAGAACCACGGTGTGCCAGAAAGCCTCACCCCCAGCCCCAACACACTGAGTGCTGCATCCCAGTGTGCCCAGCACCCATGGGGGTGTCACAGGGTACCTCCCACCCCCCTCCCCCCCCCCACTGGAGCAAATTGACGAGAGGAGGAAAAATTCCCTCCTTCCCAAAGTTTTTTCCCCCAGGAAAGCCATTTCTGTTCCGGGGCTCTGACCTTTTCCCAGCCTGGTTTTCCCCGCAGAAGCTCCCAGCCAGCACCCTGTGCCCATCTTCAAAAGCCCCGCGAAGAATTTGGTGGGAGGGGGAGAGGGGGTTTTACAATCTCCCATTCAAAAATGGTTACTTTGAAGTGATGTAGCATTTTCAACCCTTTGAAGCGCCACAATTAGGGAGGGAGCTGGTGCAGGCCAAAGGCATAACACTGGGTGACTATCACTGCCTTTCTCTCCCCAGGCTTTTAAGGGATGAACTTTTCCTCCCTGCCTGCCTCTTTCTCACGAGACACCGACCAGGGGGATGGGATCGGGGTGTTTGGGAGTCAGAAGTGTGGCAGGGAAGAACGGGGGGTCCTGTTTGCAAGAGCCAGGTTGGCGCTGGGGGGATGGATGGAGCTTGCCCAAAGGGAGAGCAGATTGCTGGGGGTATGGGGCTGTGAGTGCCCTGCTGAGGGGCTGAGATACTGCAGGACTGGGATGCTGCAGGGATGGGATGCTGAGGAGCTTTTAGGGGGTTTCATGGTGAGGAAACGTCTTTGCTGTCATTGTGGTGATGATTGAATCCATCACAATGGGGTCCTGAGAGCAGGCACCATGAATAGAAAAGGGAGGAAAAGCCATATTTTTGTCTGCGTGTTATGAACTGAGACTGAAGGAAAGCAAGTGCCTGGCCTGGGGTGAGGCAGGCAGCCCAGTCAGTGTGCTTGGAGCTGCAGCACAGAGCCTGTCCCTGTGCACCAGGCTGCGGGTGTCTGATGCCGGGTTGGGGTTGGGTTAAGGTTAGGGTTGGGGCTGGGGTTGGGGTTAGGGTCAGTCCTCCCACTGGTGGGCTCTGTCCTGGACAAACCCCCAGAATCAGAGCTTCCCCTCTGCTGTTCCACTCCAGGCAGCTCAGGGATCTGAGGAGAATCCCAATTCTGCACCAGATACCAAAAATTGGAGATAAAGGGAAACTGAACTTTTTTTTTTCCCTGAAGGAATGAATGTTGGTGTCCCAGACAGATGCAGAACGCAGAGCAGCCCTCAGTCTTGCTTTCCCCACTGAAATTCCCGGTGTGCCGATGCAGGGACGAGCCAGCCAGGAGCGCTGGTGCTCCCTCCGGCACGGTTGGCTCCCCACAAAGCTCCCACCGATCCTCGCAAGGGGCCGGTTGGAAGCCCCAGAGATGCCGCTGGAGAGCCGCAAGATGCCTTTTGTCGCCTTAATTGACGCTGGGCAGGATGAGTCCCCCCTGCCGAAATGAGTCATCCTGTAGCAGCCAGCGCAGCCCGCCCCGTGTCCCCGGCTGCCAGGCATCCTGATGGATGAGAGTCAGCTCAGCCCTCGCTTCCGCTGCCCGGATCCAACAACCCGCTGTGCCCGCGCCGCGGGGACGCGAGCAGCGAGAGCCCGCACCGAGCTGCCAAAAATGCCGTGGGTTTTGCGGTGCTTTGGTTGCGATGGCAGCGATCCGCCGGCGCGGCGGGGACACAGCCGGGTCGTGCAGGGACAGCGCTTGGGACGCGTCCCCCCCGCAGTGCCCCGCAGTCGCCTCCCAAACGCGTGCGGTGCTCCTCCCGGAGGTGCAGCCCGGCAAGGTGGGCCGTTCCCGTGGCTGAGCACAGACCTCGCTCATCACACAGGCGGCTGACTGTTTCTCTGTTGTTTCTCATCCCTGCAGGCTGCCCGACGTCGTGCGAGGAGAAGCCCGGCCGGACCCGCAGCTCTGCTCAGCCCACCGGCACCACAGCGGGAGAGCAGCTGGAGAGCACGGGGTCGTGTGGAGCAGATGTGGGGCTGGTGGGGGGCACAGCCCTGCAGGTGGCTGCCATCCCCCCCGGGGTGCTGGACAAAGCTGAGCTCACTGACTTCTACTGCTGCACGCGCTGCGGGAAGGTGTTCTGGGAAGGCTCTCATTTTGGACGCGTCGTCTCACAGTTTCAGGACATTCTGGTCACCACGGGGGATGAGCAGCGTGTCTATGAGCTGAGCTGAGGGCAGCAAGGGGCTTGGGATGGCTCAGCAGCAGGATGGGGACTGCAGGGATGAGCTCCCCTATGAGCTCGGGCAGGTCTGCGGGGAGTGGGCTTGGGTTTGCGGTGTAAGGCTGGACAGCAGGCTCGTGTTTTGGGGTCTGCGGGGTAGGGGGCTCTCATGTTTGCACTGATGTGGTGACGGTTGGCAACACGACCTCCGTGGGAGCATTAAATCAGAGGCACCTGGGGAATGGATCTGTTGCTTTATTTCTGCCTCTCTCCAGGCTGGGCACGGCAAGAGGATTGCAGAGCTCTCCCAAATGTCACCAGGTGCTGCTGCCCCCATGGCACCCGTCGGTGCCCAGCATGTCACCCCGGAGAGGTGTGTCCCTGTCCAGCAAAGCCCCTCTGCTCTCCATGGGAGGATCACTGAGGGAGGTCTCTGCTCTGTGCCCCCTTCCAGCTGCTGCCCCCAAGATCAAGAAAGCGCCTCCAGTGCCCAGTGTGCTCTGTGGGTATGGGACACGTGTCTGCGTGCCACCCTGGTCCCACAGCTCTGGGCACTGCCGGCTGCTGCATCCCAGCCCGCGGATGGGCTGAAAGCACTCCACCCTGTAAGAGAGGAGCGTTTGCAAAATTCCTCCCCTAATCCCGGTTAACTGCCAGGCACTGATGTTATTGCTAACAGGGCCCGAGGGGCTCTTGGCTTAAGTGCGACATTTACGGGCCAGCAAAATGCCTGCCCGGGCAGCTTACACAGCGGAGCCGATGTGCTCTCCCTCTCCAAACGCTCGTGGCGATGCAATGCTGAGGGCTCCTTCCCCTGGGGATGTTACACCCAACGCTTCTCACCTCCCGAGTCAGAAGGGCATCGAGGCAGCTCCCCGCAGTCTCTCAGACACTGTGCTCCCTTCCTCTCCTCCATGCTGTTAATGTCCATCAGCCCTACCCGGCGGTCCCTACTTTGCACTGTTGCAGTGCAAATGTTTCACATCATTTTCAAGCAAATGACAGCAGAGAGGATTTGGGATACCCCCACCGCAGCCTGTGCCTCCCCTCTGACCCCATCACCAGCAGTGCAGCACCTGCAGGACTGTGCCCATGGACCAGCCAGCCTCGCTCACCGCTCGCTGCCATGTGAGCTGGTGCAGCAGTTGGGTTTTGGTGCTGGCTGCATACACGTCGGCTCTAAGATCTAAGCACACTTCTACTCACCTTCCAGTCTGTCTCTGGGGGGTCACAAAGCAAAGCCGCACTGCTGATGCACAGCCAGAGCTGCCCATGCCTGGCTGCCATCACCACTTTGCCTCTTCTCCCAGCTGTGAAGGAGGGCAATGCTGTGCTCCCCACGGGGTCACATCCTGCACAGCCACATTGGTTCCCTTTAATTCCCTGTCCCCAGGTGTCCCCAGGTGTCCCTAGGGTCCTGTAGCCCTGCCGTGCCCCATGGCCACCTTGGAGCTGCTGGCTGCTCTCACCTGGAGCTCACCAACTGAAACTGCTCTGTTTTAGCAGCAGTTCTCCCAGGCACCTGCACAGCCCTGCGTGAGGTCTGGTGGCTTCCCCTGTGCTGTGCCAGGCAGGCTGGCTGCTGGACACTGCCACAAAGGACCGTCCACACACAGGCAGTGCCACCTCAAGTCCTGTGATGTGCTGGGGATTATCTCTCCTAATAGGATTAAAATGCCTTCTTCTGATCTTGCCCTTAGCCATCATCATTTTTCTATTGATCCTTACAGCTTCCCACTCTGTTGTCCGCATTTTTTATTTCTTTCTTTTTTTTTTTTTTTTAGCATAACCTTAAGGAATTGTGTTTCATTTCCTGGTTTTCCAGACCTGCACTCTTTCTAGGTGCTAACTCATTTTTCTTAATTCTCTCTTCAGCTGGAATCGGAATTTCCTCTTCTCTTTTACCCCAGGGTCACTTTTGCAGCAGTTGTGGTGCAGTAGCCGCTCCACCAGGCCGGGCACCACGGGCCGAGCACAGGCAGCTATGCAGCACTGCGTTTGCCCACGGGCAGCGTGGGGGCACGGCACGATGTGGGTGGGTGTGGAGTGGTGCCGCTGTGCCCCGGGGCAGAGGCTGTGGAGGTGCAGTGAGGTCGTCCCCAGGCAGGGCCACAGTCAGCATCAAACTGTCGAGCCGGGCCGGCCTTGAGCAGCATCCAGGAAGCAATAAATCGTCCGGTTTTCAATGGTGGAGACGGATCAAAGAGAATTAAGCCGGCTTTTTAATCAGCCTGCAATATTGTTTCCCTATCTGGCTTCTTTTGAAAAAACAAATAAATAAGCAAACCTACCTAGCTGCCTGTGCTGTAGTAATATTTAACGTTTATCGGGGCAGTAAGGGGCCTTTTGTGATTTTATGGGGCTGTTTGATGGTGCGTTCGCAGGGCAGCGGGGGCAGCTCCCGCAGAGCCGCCCGGTCCCCGGGATGCCACATGAGTGCGCCGCTCTGCCTCCGCCTGCTGCTGGGGGACGCTGCCGTAGGACAGCGCCGGAGGAGAAGGAAAGCAGCCGGCGGGGGCTGAAGGGAGGGGAAGGGAATGGATCCGGTCCCTTCAGTCTCACGACGTGGCTTCACCTTTGGACCCTGAGCTGAGAGCTCGGGAAGGGATGGGGGTAAGGTGGGGGAGCAGAGTCTGGGCTGGATGAAAACGGTGCAAAAAAAGCTGTTTCCTGGGTGGCGTGCAGCTGTTCCCGGGGACATCCTGCTCACTCTGCACCTGCTGCAGCAGGAGCACAGCACCTCCGGCTCCCCACGCACTGCGTGCTTTGCTGTGCAGCTCTGGGGCGGCTCCGGTTTGCCCTGCAGAGCCCTGAGAACTCACACACCGCATCGGATATCGGGCAGTTCCTCTCCTCGCCTTGTGTATTTCTTGCATATCCTTCTCAGTTTGATGGGGACAAGGTGTTTGGCACCGGGGCCAGCTTTAGTTTACAAATGAATCTATCAACACTGTTCCTCATCAGGCAGGAATGCGCTTCCCTCCCTTCTCCCCCACCTTATCCCCATCCCCTTCCGAGCAAACTTCCTTCCTTGTGCAATCTGGATCGGAAGCCGTGCCGCATACTTGACCGGCTCAAGGAAAGCGGCTCAGCTCCCCGTGCCTTTGTGGCTCACATGGGGCCGGCGGGCGCAGAGCAGACCGGGGGCCGAGGCTCCCCGCAAGCTATGGATGCTCCACATGAGCTCCCTGTTTCTCGGTCGCCATTTCCAAACAGTCTGGCACGTTTCTGGGTACGGGCCCAGCCCTGGAGAGCCCGAGGTTGGCTGTGAGCTGCAGGCCCCGTGCAGTGCTCCATTGGCCAGGGGCAGCAGAGAGGTGTCAGTGCCACACGAGGGAACATTTGGCCCGGAGGATCTGCTCGCTGGGACCGCTCCTTTTCCGTCAGCCTGCCAACACCTGGGCACGACTTCCAGGCCAACGCGCTCCCATCCTCTCGCATCACTCCTCACTGCACGTCCTGCAGAGTCACGGCTGCGTCACTGCCGAGCCCACCCGACACACGCGGCCTCATACCCAGCTCGGGAACGGCAGAGAGCCGCTCCACGGGGCCGCAGCCGGAAAGCCCCGCACGCAGCCGAGGGCTGAAGCAGCGAGCAGCTCTCCATCTCCGAGCGCGTCAAATCCGGCGGCTGTCCGCCTGGATGGCGTTTTCCCGCTGTCACGCACGGGCCGTGCGCTCGGGGCAGGACGGCGGCAGCGCCGCAGCACCGCCAGCGGGACGGGGCCGGGACCGAGCGGGGTGAACGCGCGGGGTGGGCTGCGGGAGGACGGCGGGACCCGCTCCGCCCGCGGGCACCGTGCCCTGAGGTGCGCCCACCGCCCCGCGGCCCCCCCACCGTGACCGCCCTCCTGCGGCCCCCCGGGACGAAGACGCCCCCCGGCCCGCCTCGATCTGCGGCCGTTCCGTGCGGGAGCGCGCGTGCGCGCCCTCGGCCGGGTCCGTGCGCTGGGAAGAAAAGCCGCCGCCTTTCCCACGCTCTCCGACACATTTTAATGAATTAAATGGGGGCACGCCCCCTCGCCGCCCGCTCCGCTCCGTCCCCCGCCGCTCCCGCTCCCTGCGCGGAGCCCCCGGCGCTGCCGCCCGAGCGCTGCGATGCCCGGACCGACCGCTGCCCGCTCTGCTCCCGGGCGGAGCTCCGGCACGGCCCGGCCCCGAGCCCCGCTAACACCGGAGCGGAGCTGGCCCTGCCCGTCTGCGGTTCGCCCGTCCGTCCCGTCCCGTCGTCGGAGCGGCTCTGTTTACAAAACAAAAACGCGAATCGGAGCTGAAATGCGCGCTTTCAAAACTGTTTTGTTTTTCTTCTCTATTTTTCCTGCCCCTCCGGCCCCGTTCCCGGGAGGGGTCCCGCCCCCACCTGCCAGCGAGTGACACTTGCATGGCTGGGATCCTGCTGCCCCGGTCCGGCCCCAGCCGGGGGTGCGGGCAGCTCCCGCTCTGCTGCTCTCCCACCCGCTGCTGACACCCCGCAGGGTTCTGCCTTCCTGCCCCAAAGCGGTGCCCCGGGGGGTCGTTCGGGAGCAGACGGGCCGAGCGCGGTCCCGCAGTGAGCTGCTCCTGCTCGTGGTGAGGAGGGACCCCGTGGGGTGAGGACGGTCTGGAAGTGTGAGCAAAGTGCGCTGTGCGCCGTGTGTCAGCGTTACGGCGGATGTCACGGGGACATCCCAGGGCACTCCAACCCGGTGTTCCAACGGGAGCGCAGTGCCCGCAGCCACCGTGCTGCACCACCATCACATCACATCATATCACATCACATCACATCACATTGCATCATCACATCGCATCATCTCCGTTAGAACTTTGGTACAATCGTGTTGGCAGGGGAGAGCTCCCGTTTGGGGAAACCAAACAGGGTGGGAATGAGAATGAGAATGGGATGGAGATGGAGGCGAGACGGGGACTGGGATGGGCATGGGCATAGGAATGGAATGAAGACGGGAATGAGATGAGGATGGAAATGGAAATGGAATAGGGACTGGGTTGGGGATGATGTGGGGACACGATGTGGATTGGGAGATGGATGGCATACGAAGAGATGGGATGAGATTGGGAAGGAGGATTTGGTTGAGATGGGAATGGGATAGGGATAGGGATAGGGATGGGGTGCACGGGGATGTGGATGGAGATGGGTGATGGAGACCGGGATGGGATGGGCGGGGAATGGATGAGGATAGCGGTGGGGCTCAGCCTTCCCTCACCATGGGGAAAAGCCACGGGAAAACCCCGCAGGGAAGCCCGCGCCCCGAGCTCGCACCCAAGGCCGGCTGCTCCATGTCAGCAGAGCTCAGCTCTTGGCTGATCGGTGCCGTTCTATCTCCAGACCAATGCGGCACACGGCCGGAGGCGGTTGTCCGAGGTGACAGTTGTGGGGTCCCGGCAGCACCCCCCGGTTTTACGGCCTCTCCTTCCCCTCCCTGCACTCCTCCCCGCTCGGGCCGGGGGTCCCCGCTTCCCGCCGCCCTCTGCCATTCGCTCTGCCCCGG